AACTGTTGGGGGTCACTTTTGATGGTCACAAGGGACAAGCGATGGCATTATTTACTGAACTGGAAAAAATAGCACCTGGAAAAAAAGAAAGGTGATGAGGCTGTCAGTAAAGGAAAGAAAAAATTGACTGAGGGGAGAGTGCGAGAATTGAAAGGACTGCAATTTTCTATTAATTATGAAGGGAGAAGCAAAAAGGCAAGCAGCAGTGGGGAAGCGAAAGAGGAATCCAAATTATCAGAAAAATAATATCATGGAATGTTAAGGGCCTAAATGATCCAAAAAAAAGAAATATCATCAAAGGATGCATGAATCAATGGAAACCAGACTTAATTTGCATTCAAGATACCAAACTGGCCTCCATCGACAGCAAAACCGTCAAGAGCATGTGGAATCTTCTGGATGTTGACTGGCTGTTCCTTCCGGCCATCAGCACTGCTGGTGGTATTCTCATTTGCTGGAAAAAAGACCTTTTTGACTGCATTAACTATATCTGTGGTGGGTCTTCTTTATCATGTCTCTTTGTTAACAAAACCAATAATGAAAAATGATTTTTCTCTGTAATATACTGCCGAGGTAATGCCACTGACACAGAAAATTTCTGGAAGGAGTTGATTCAATTGCAGAACTACTGGGGTGATAAAGGTGTGGTTGGTGGAGATTTTAACATGGTCTTGAAGCGTGAAGAGAGATCGGGTGAATATTTTTCTACTTCCATCGCTCGGAATTTCAAAGAAAAAATAGACAGACTTGGTTTAGAGGATCTACCACTTAAGGGGGGTCGATGGACTTGGAGTAATCAAAGGAACAGCCTTCGTACTCCAGAATTGATAGATTCTTGGTCTCCATCAATATACTCTTGTCTCTTCCGGGCATTAACCAAAAGGTACTCACTCGCCCTATCTCTGACCATTTTCCAATAGGTTTATCTTCTGATGGGATTCAATGGGGACCTATACCATTTCGTCTGAATAATAAATGGCTCAAAATTGATAGATTCAAAATCATGGCCAATGATGTTTGGAATGAACCGGTGGAGGATGGTAGTAAGCTTCAGACTATCTAGGAAGTTTTCCAGACTTAAGCATGAGATTAGGAAATGGAC